CTGGCCCTGGAGTCAGGAAAACTTGAGTTCAAATTTGACCCCAGAAACTTAAAGGTGTGTGACAATGGGCAAGTCATTTAACCTCTATCTGCCTCAGTTTCCTCAACTATACAATGGGATTAATAATAGTGCCTATATCTCAAGGCTGTTGTGAGCATCAAATGAGATAAAATTTGTAAAGCACTTAGTACAGGGCCTGGCATACAGTCGGTACTTAACAAATACTTATTTCCTTCCTTCTGAGGTTCCTTCTGGCTCTGATTCTATGAAAGCCTCTCACATTACTCTCCTCCAGGTAGTCTATTTCAGTCTAGACTCTACTACTCTCTGCCTCCTGAACATATCCTGTCCTGCTATAAATGATAATGATGATCCTATGCCTTGTTCTCTTTTACTTCCATGCCCTTGCTCATGTTTTTCTCTGATAACCTAAAACACTTTTCCTACTTCTCTCTCTCTTTCTCTTTTTTTTTGGGGGGGGGGGGGGGGCAATTGGGGTTAAGTGATTTGCCCAGGATCACATAACTAGTAAGTGTCTGAAGCTGGAATTGAACTCAGGTCCTCCAGACTCCAGGGCCAGTCTACTGTGTCACCTCCATGACCCTCTACTTCTCTTTACCTTTGAATTCCTACCCATGCTTCAAAGCCCAACCTCCTCTAGGAAGCCCTTCCCTGGTCAGTGAGGATTTTCCCTGTTGGATCTCCCATAATGCTTTGTTTGCCCCTCTTCTGTGTACTTATCACATAAAATAAATGATATGACCACTTCCTGGCCCAGCCAAGTCCATGGCAATCATTCTCTATGCTGATCACCACTTCTACCTTTGCCCCCTGGGTAACCTGGACTCTGCCCCCAGATCCCTCAGCTTTGAGAAGTGAACTTTAAGCCTTTATCTTGCCATGCCACTTCCTGGCCCCAGTATATACCCTTGCAACCTTCCCTTTCCAGATCTTTGTTCTCCCTTATTCAAATGAAAGCTCTTGGTGTCAAGGACGTCTTGCTTGCTTGTATCTGCATCCGTAGCACTTAATACAGGGGCTAGTATGTGCTTACTAAGTGCTCCAACACTCAGGCTGTCCATGTATCATCTCTTACGTGACCAGTCCAATTTACTTTTCAGTCATCCATTTTGCCTGATTACATCCTCTTATCAAGTTCTCCTTTGAAGTTGTTTATTTGAAATATAGTGCAGACTACTCACAACCATCTTGTATCTCTCAATTTCACATCTGGGAAATTTTTATTTTTTTGGAACACTACAGTGTCCCATTTCTCAGTCATTCAACAGAAAAGAGTAGATATTGGTAGGAAGTGTCTTACCCAAGCTTTGCTATTCTCTTATGTATTAAGCACAGGGCTCTGCACTCAGTAGGTGCTTAACAAATGTTTGCTGAATGAATAAAGCTCACAAAAGAAGGATTAGGGATAGAGTTAACACAGAGATTAAACCCAATCTTATGCCGGTAGTCTGTCTCCACACACACCTCCAAACACTTTCATTTCAACAGATGTCATCTTGGTACTGACGCATCTATTATGTTCCAGGTACTGTGCTAAGGAGTGGGAAACAAAAAAAAAAAAAAGTGTGTATGGGCGGGAGAGCCTGCTTTCAAGGAGTTCTCGATCTAATAACAGATACTGTAGCAACAGTGATAGGATCACAGATGAACTCAGGGAAGGGTTGGTGATATTAATGAGGCATGAACCTAAGAAGTCATTTAGTTCAACATCTGTCATTTTACAGATGAGGAAACTGAGGCTCAAAGAGGATGACTTGCCCAAAGTCATACAGTTTGTAAATGGTAGAGCCAAGATTTGAAACTAGGTTCTCTGCCTCTTCAGTCAACAGACTGAGACCCTGGAGACATAGGTTCAAGTTCTAGCCCTTCATACTTTACAGTGTCACCTTCAACAAGAAAATTCATCTCCTTGAGTCCCAGTTTCCTTAATTATAAAATAGGAATAACTATACTAGTATTAATTGCTTCTCAGGTTTATAGAGGAAAGTATATCTTAAGGTGCTATCAAACCCTCCTCATTACTTTCCCTTTTGGGGAGGGAACTAACTGTCCGCCTTGGGAAGCCCAGAAGTCAGGTAAGAAATGAAGATCTCTGGATAGACCAGATAAGCTTGGTGGGGCAGCAAGGACGGGCGTGGTAGAGAGAAACCCAGGCTGTGCTTAGGAGAAAAGAACACTAAGCCATTACCTTAAGAGACAGAAGAATCAGAATCCACCTCCAGCTCTGAAACTTACTTTAATTCTTGAGTCTCAATTTTGTCTTTTGGAAAGTAGAACACTAGTCTCATAGGGTTGTCCTAAAGATCAAATGAGATTATATACAGCCCTTTGTAATGAGAAAAATGGACAAAAACTATTAGTATTCTAAGTGAGCAGAACCAGTAGCCACATTAGTGGTCTTTTTTTGAGGTGTGCTGGAAACCCCCCACTTACTAACCAAACATTATTTCCTTCACTATGTTATTCTGCCAGAAGTTTCCCACCATTAGAGATGAATTCCTTTGGCTTGATTTTTGAGCTGGAAAGGACCTTGGAAAATGAGTTCATTTAAAGATGAAAAAACTGACTCCCAAAGAAGTCAAATGACTTGGCCAGGTGTTCAGAGATAATGGGTAGCACAGCTAGTATTCAAATTCTAAATCTAGTATTCTTCCTGCTAATATCATGCCAGCCCAGTGTAACCAAGAGAGGACTGGCCTGAGGTTAAGTACAGTTCTAACATTTACTAGTCCAGTGACCTCAAACTGGGATTTTTTCATGTATAAGGCCTATACTCAAATGGATCTGTGAGATCACTGCCTTGGCTGTTCCCTTCAATGGATGCCGACTCCAGCCCTTTCACGCTTGCTCATTGTGGGTGTCACTCTTGCTCAGGTTGCGTCCTAATTTAGCCACAGAAGATCCAGCCAACCTGCTGTAAACCTTTGTCCACTTCTTACACCTCATGGATCTGATGGTTCCCTGGGCCATCTGTCGACCTGTCACTTTCACTCTGGCCCTCAGACCAACCCAATGCCTTTTTCTGAGTATAAATATCCCAGATTAACATTCCTCTAGTTCTTCTTTCAAGTTCCTTATTTATGAAAAGTTGCAGCCTACTCACATCTACTATGTGCCTTTATACTGCCCTCAGGGTCATACTTATTTGTCATTCTTAGGGACACTGTGAGTCCATTTCTCACAACCTTATAACGTACTGGATACAATACTGGCATTAAAGAGACCACTTTTGTTTCTGGGAGAAGCTTCTGATAAGCATAATAACATTTGCTTTACTTATCTTATGAGATTGCAGTGAAGAAACATTTCCAATGTGCACCACAAATGTTGCCGTTAATGTCACGGTTTTTTGGTCTTGAGTGACCTCCCTGGTTTCCTTTAAGTCCCAACCAAAAACCCACCTTCTACAGAAAGTCTTCCCTAATCCCTCTTAATTCCAGTGCTTTCCCTCTTGATTATTTCCTATTTATCCTGTAGATAGTTGGAATGTTGTTTCCCCCCATTAGATTATAAGCTCCTTCAGAGCAGGGACAGTCTTTTGCCTCTTTTGTATCCCCAGAGCTTAGCACAGTGTCTGACACATAGTAGGCACTTAATAAATGTTTATTGAATTGAAAAGCGTCCTAAGAAAGTGCAATTACTAGGGCAAGGAGGATGTGGGGGTGGGTAACATCTTAGGTCATTATCACCTCAAACCCTAAGTGGTTCAGCTGAAGGCTAAGTGAGGTAGGTACAAAATATTTTAGGAATGGGAAAGAGGTTATTTGCCTAGTCTGAGGTAGGAACTGGACACTGGGCACGAAAAGAAGAAAAAAAAAAGCTGAAAGCGAAGTGGGATAATGTCAAAGAGAATAGTCTCCAACACTACATTTTGAGAAACCTAGGGCAAAACTTCACAGGTACAATATTGGGCCCTATAGGCATAAGAACTTAAGACCTATGCTAGGGAAGGGAGAAAGAGCTTGAGCTTATTTTATTTGTAAATCCAAAGGACCCTGAGGAGGAGCAGAGATTCCTTTCTCTGCTCCAGGAAGGTGGAAGCATGGTATAGAGTTCTCAGGAGGGATAATAATAAAGATTACCTGGGGGACTCAGGGTGGAAAAAAGAATCATATAATCATGGAATGGTAGCTCTATAAGGGCCTTAGGACCTGGACTCTTAGAACTAGTACCCACCAGAGCTGGATCAACTCACTCCTGGTCTAGTATACTTTCAGAAAATGTATATCCTTGAAGATTGAGAGATGGCAGATAGAAGAGGTAAGAGGGTCATCATCTAATACTGGAAGAGGAATTTGATTTGGGAGTCTTAAAACCTTGGATTAAGTTCTGGCTCCAGTACTAATCTGCTCTGTGTCTCCAAGCAAGTCATTTTCATCTTCACGGACCTTTTAGACTACACAACCTCTCCATCCACTGTGAAATGTCATGACATTTCTAAGGTAGTCAACAAGACCGTGGGAGTGGGAATTGGATTTGCCAAAGTGAGTGAAAGTGGAAATCCTTAAGGGTACCCGGGGTATAGGAACCAGAGGCTAATTTGAATATGACAGTTGTGAATATTTCCTATGGGAAAAATAAAGTGTGTGTATGTGTGTGTTGTATGTGTGTGTGGGGGGGTGTACATTAGGAAGGCTGACAAATAGAGGGGAGGTTTCTAAATGAAGATGGCTCTGACGCAGATTTGATTTGTGATTTTGGGCAATTCATTTACCCCGTGGGGTCCTCAGTTTCCTCATCTGTAAAAATAAGAGGTTTGAACTAGATGTTCTCTAACTTTTCATGTACGAGGTTCTCTTCTAGCTCTGACACCCTATGAGCTTAGGGTCTCTTTCAGCTCTAACAATTTGTGAGTATGATTTTCTCCCTCCGCCCCAATAACTGATAACAACAGAGGGATATCAGGGGGATGGGGTGGTGCCAGGGGTAGTAAATGCGGAGCGGGCTTCGGTAGGAAGACTTCGCAGCCCTGAACTCACCATTGAAGGTGTTCGGGAGCCGCCGGCTTCTTGGGTCCGTCTCTACAGGCCGCTTGTCAGACATGGTCCCGCTGGGTGGTAACCTTAGTTCCCGCTGCTACAGCTGCAGATAATCAGTGAAGGGGTCCTCGGAGTTCTAGCTTTTGCCACCCCCTCCCGGGCCCCGCCCCGCCTCCACCTCGCCCCTCCACGCCCCGCCCCTTCACTGCGCCCGACCAATCAGGGCTCAGGCATCGGGGAGGTCACGCCTCCCAGCCAACTGCCCCTGTAGGTTTCACATGTAGATTTCCCGCCGACCTCACGCTTCCTTCTCCCGGTGGAGGGGCGCGTAGGGACCCGGGCAGAGCAGAAGGAGCCGGAGTTGGGGTGGGGCTTTGAGGAGTTGGCTAGAGAAAGGGCTGGAGGTTTCTGGAAAAGGCAGGGGTTGAGAGGAATCACGGAAACAAAATCAGAATCACGGGTTGCTTCAGGTTTGGGAGGACCTCAGCTAATCTTGTCCAAACACTACCTGAACCTCACAGCGCGTCCCCCACCACAGCGTCCCCAACAAGTGGCTGCTAACTTCCAGGAGGAGCTCTTTTTTATGCTGTAATGTTGGGAATATTGTGAGAAAGGTACTAGGAATTTTTTGATAGGGAAAGCCAGGCACGCAACCTAGCTTTGGGGAGAGCAAGTTTGTTTTTGTTTTGTTTTGTTTTTTCTCAACTTTTTTTTTTAAATAAGATTTTAGTATACCTTTTGTTTTTACATCATTCACATTCCTCAGTATATCCCGTCCTCCTCCGAGAAAGCCATCGTCATAAAAATAAAAAAAGAAGAAAAAAACAGTTCAGCTAAACTAACCAACTTACATGTCTGACATCGCTAGCGGGCCACTCCCACAGTCTGCCATCTCTGCAAAGAAGGGAGAGGGGAACCTTCTCTATTTCATCTTTGGGTCAAAGCTTGGTCATTATAACTTAAGAGACTTCAGTTTCAATTGTTCTTTCCATTTACGTGTTTGTACTCAACGAGTACTGTTGTTTTCCTGGTTCTGTTCGTTTCGATTTGCATCAGTTAATATCAGCTTTCCCATGCTTCTCTATTTACCCTATTCATCATTTCTTTCAGCGCAGTAATATTCCATTACATTCGTGTACCACACTTTTCTAACCATATCTGGGTTGATGGGCATGTGTTTGTTGTCAATTCTTTGTTACTTCGAAAAGTACTGATGTGAATATTTGGTATACATGGAGCCTTTTTATTATTGACCTCCTTGGGGTATATAACTTAGTAAAATGTTTACATCAAGGGACATGGATATTTTAAATCCTTTTCTCTGTGTAATTCCAAATTGTTTTGCAGAATGGTTTGACTAAGTCAAATTGTCAAGTCTACAAGCATTTATTAAGTGCCTACTATAGACTAGACACCTTTTTAATTGCTGGGGATACAAGGAAAGGCAAATGACAGTCCCTGCTCTCACAGAACTCACAACTGGGACAATTGTGCATTAGTGTGCCCATCTTTTTTCCTACTTTGACTATTCCCTTCTTTTGTCATCTCTTAGCCAATTTGCTAGGTGTGAGGTGAAATCTCAAAGTTTGATTTGTATGTCTATTAGTGATTTGAATCCTTTCAAATGGTTGCTAATAGTTTGCATTTCTTTTGACAATTATTCTTTTTTTTTTTTTAAGGCAATTGTGGTTAAAAATGACTTGCCCAGGGTCACACAGCTACTAAGTGTCAAGTGTTTGGTCTAGGGCTGGATTTGAACTCAGGTCCTCCTGACTTCAGGGCCGGTGCTCTATCCATTGCACCACCTAGCTGCCCTAACAATTATTCTTTTGGACCACTTCCCCACCACCATTTCCGTGGGGTGCAGAATAGTCTTGTGTTTTTCAAATTTCCTTTCCTTCATAATTGGTCTCCACAGGGACAGCTAGGTGGCACAGTGGATAGTGCTCTGGCCTTGGAGTCAGGAGTACCTGAGTTCAAATCCAGCCTCAGACATAAAACACTCACTAGCTGTGTGACCCTGGGCAAGTCACTTAACCCCATTGCCTCATCAAAAAAAAAGAAAATAAGAAAAAGAAAAGGGGGCAGCTAGGTGGTGCAGTGGATAGAGCACCGGCCCTGAAGTCAGGAGGACCTGAGGTCAAATCCGGCCTCCGACCAAACACTTGACACTTACTAGCTGTGTGACCCTGGGCAAGTCACTTAACCCCAATTGCCTAAAAAAAAAAGTGCTCCCATAATTGGTCTCCACTAGAATTTGTTGTCATTGGAATTGTTAAATTTAACTACTATGTATCTTGGGGTTCAAAGCATAGGATTTTTTAATCCTTTGGTTGATGCTTTATTTTCTGTGCTCAGAAATTCTGGGCAATTTCTTGTATTATTTTCCTTTATAGTATTTAGATTTTTTTACTTGTTCATGTTCTTTTGGTAGGCCACTGATCCTTAGGTTGTTTCTATACATCTTGTCTTTAAGATCCAATGTGTTTTATTTGTGTAAAGATCATGTCTTCTTTTACCATTACTTGTTTTTCCTTGTCATTTTCCAGATTGTCCTTCATTTCAGCATAAGTGTATTCTAAATCTGTTTTTCTCTTTCATTTCTTTAGAGAGACTTTCCACCAAGGATTCAAAATTTTTCATTCTAATTATTTCTTTTTTTTTTTGTTTTTTGGTGAAGCAATCAGGGTTAAGTGACTTGCCCAGGCTCATACAACTAGTAAGTATCAAGTGTCTGAGGTCAAATTCGGAATCAGGCCCTCCTGACTCCACTGCACCACCTAGCTGCCCCTCTGCTAATTATTTCTGCTCTGTGTGTTATAAATACTCTCATTTATTCCCATCTAAATTCTTCTCTCAAGATTTCTCTCTTAAACCATTCCAGAACACTCTGCTTTGGCTTCTTTGCCTAAGAATATTTATTTAAACATGTTTGCAATCTTTTAAATGTCTTCATAATCACCTTCCTTTCTAATTTAAGTATTTTCCCTTATGATATAAAGAGGCCAATGTGGTTGTCCATGGAAATTACTAAACAATTTATATTTTTAAAAGACCTATACTCATGATGAAATCAAAGATAGACAACAAAGGATGATTATGAAAGATTGGCAATTTAGATGTAGCACCCCCTCTCAGTTACTCCTCAACTCTAAATTGCTATTGCAATCACTAGGTATTTCCTGTGTGGTGTTGGTTGCCTTAGTTCAATGGCTAAAGCCCTATGATCCTCTCCACTCGAATAAGGAACTTCTGTGGAGTTGTAGAAAAATTCCTTACCAGACTGAAAACTAAGGGGGAAACAATTGAGGAATAGATAAACAAATTATTGTATATGAATGTAACTAAATAGTATTGCACCCTAAGAAATGATGAAAATTATGGTTTCAGAAGTGAACAGAATAACGGAAACAATTTATGCAATAACAGCACTGTGAAAAAAATTTTAAAAGCCTTAAGAACTCTGATCAATGCAATAATTACCCATAATTACCTAGGATAGAAGAGGAAGCATACAACCCTCTTCCTGTCAGAGAGGTGATAGACTGAGGGTGCATATATTTTTTAACATGATCAATGTGAGAATTTGTTTTTATTGACTATACTTGTTTGTTAATAAGGGCATTTTCTTTTTTTTTCTTTTTCTATTGTAGGTGGATGGGAAAGAAAATTTTTTGTTAATTGAAAAAAAATTAACTACAAAAAGGAAAACTCCTTAATATCTCCACTTCACACACATTTTTGAATTCAACAGTATTGAAAAAACATTACTTTTTACTTTTAGTCAGATACTAGGGATGTTCTTGTTGTTCAGTACTGACTCTTTGTGACCCCATTTTGATTTTCTTCCTTTTTTTTTTTGTTTTGTTTTTGCAAAGATACCAGAGTGGTTTGCCATTTCCTTCTCCAGTTCATTTTATAGATGAGGAATTGAGGCAAACGGGGCTAAGTGACTTGCCCAGGTTCACCCAGCTAGTAAGTATCTGAGGCCAGACTTGAACTCCTGCTTGTTCCTGAGTCCAGGCTTAGCATTCGGCCTGCTGCACCCTAGATTCCTGGTGCTAGGGATAGAAACACAAAAATGAAAAAGCACCTACTCTTAGGAAGCTTACATTCTACTCTATAAGACTAGGGAAAGGGCTGTTAAGGAAAAGAAAGGGGAAAAGGCATTTAAAGGCATTTTGGGGAAAAGAGGAAAAGCTAAAGAATTGTAGGAAACATTTTTTAAAATTTGCTTTTTAGTAAAACTGAAAATATTAAGAAGTAATAGGTTTTGGGTTTTTTTATTTTTCCTAGCCTAAATGCCTTTGAAGACTACAGTATTCCCTTTAGGAAAATCAGTAGAACAAAGCTAAGGTAATAACAATTTCCTGAAAAGACAAGCAGTCTATACTTTGTCCATCTCCTGGAAACAATTGGTGGGAGGATCTACCCTTCCCTATTGATTTAGAAGAAAAGAATTTCCTTTGTTTATTTTACGGAGAGCACTTAAGGGGAGTGGTCCAGGAAGGAATGACGTGAAAATTTGTTGCTTAACTGTTTTGGAATTTTAACCCCAAACTGTGTTTTTATTTTATTATGATCTTTCTTTTGTTCAAGATTCAAATAAATGTTACTGTTGAGGTTTAGGAGCATAGGGGTGCTGGGACCCCAAAATCACACCACACGGGTCCTGCCCAAAAGAATTCGACCCAAGCCTTCTTTCAGTCAAAGACAAGGTTTATTAGAACATCTGTCACACTGGGCAGACTCTTAAGGAGTCATTGGCTAGATTTTAAGAATCTGAGCACCTTAAGAGAGACAATATGGATCTTATATACACAAATACTGTGGATCTGGGAGTGGCCAAGCAGTCTGTGAGGACTGTGAGGTAACAGAACATCAGGGACCTGGATCACATGGCCAAGGGAGAATGGAGCCTAGCTAGGATTAAGGATAGGAAGTGGCCAGGAGCCATAGAAAGACAATGGAGGGCTAGGCTAGGTTAAGGGTAACAGAGAATTGGGGAGATTGGGCCTAGCCACAATGAAAGGCCAGTTGATGGAATTATAGCCTCAGGCAAATGCCAAAGATTTGGCCACGTGGGAAA